AGCCGACGAAATAATTTTCGACGAAACAAACTTTCGACGAAATGGGTGTCGACGAAATGATTTTCGACGAAGTAAACGTGACCGATTTTTAACTGTCTCCCGAGGAATTTTCTCTCATTCTTCTACCATAAATTGTTTCAATTCATCAACATTTCTAGGCACCCTTTTTTCAACATTATTCCTCATAATGAACCATATATTCTCTATTAGAAATATATCCATCATCTCGATTAAGACCATCTATCGAATGAAGCAAATAGCTTGTATTTCTAAGCATAATTTTCAAATTTAAAAAATTTACGAAAAGAAAATTTGAGATAAATTTTTTTTTTAGATTTTTAAAATCCATGTATGAATCACATTTGAGTATAGATGATCCGCACTGTACTATTTTTTCAAACTCGGTGATCGTCAAAGTTATTATTATAATACTGGCCTACAATATTCCCATCTTTTTATAAGCAAACAGGGCCTAATATTTTTGCCAATTATAATCTTTATGTTATATATCAGTCAATATTATGTTAAAAACACAATTTGATCACATGAGGTCGAAACCCTTTTTTTGCTAGAAAAGCTCCCATATTTGAAATTATCAGAAAATTGGCTCACTGGAACCCTAAGCTTGAGTTTAAGCCATTTGTTTCATTCGATAGATGATCTTAATCGAGATGATGGATATTTTTCTAATAGAGAATATATGGTACATTATGAGGAATAATGTTGAAAAAAGGGTGCCTAGAAATGTTGATGAATTGAAACAATTTATGGTAGAAGAATGGGAGAAAATTCCTCGGGAGACAGTTAAAAATATTATTATGTCTATGAAAAGAAGATGTGAATTAGTTTTGGAAAAAAATGGTGATAGAATTTCTTATTAATTTCTTATTATTTATAAAATAGTTTATCAGCTGATGTGATTTAATTTAAAAAAAAACCACAAACGTAATTTATTAAATTAAATGCATGATGAAATTCCAAATAATTATGTGCCATATTTTGAAACATAGAAAGCAGGCGGTAATTGTTCTAGAATATCAACCAGTGTTTTTTCCACAATTACTAAAGAATCAGGTAAAATAAAATCAAGATACACGATTGTTTGTATCTAGTCACTAATTGTATGTTGGCTATTTTTGTATTATTTTTAGTAATAGTATAATTATCGTCATCATCATCACCATCGTCATTATCATTTTGATTAATTTGATGTGGTTTATTTGTACCGTGACAATAAAACAAATTCAACTTAGATTTGACCTTTTTACTGAAATCAATAAAACAAAAATATCTGCTTGTCCATAAAATCATGATTTTATTATTAGTGGGATTGAAAGTGCAACCGATTGTCTTATCTTGAAGGCAAAGAAACTTGTCAGGTAAACAATTTGAGTATTGTCGTGACCAATTTGTTAATTCATAGTCAATTATATTTCAAAGATAAAATATGTTGTTTGTTAATGTGATCATCAGGATTGATTCAAACGGATCAAAAGTTAAAGACGCATGTTTTGATGAAAATATTGGAAGTGTTGAATGATACTAAAAATAATGCAATTATGTAATATTTTAGTTTGAATAATTTGGTTGGCTCGAGTAATAATGAAAATTAGATATAAAGAAAATTTACTTTTAGTTTTTCCAAATTAAAAATTCGTATTCTATTCAACTCATCGCCACATGCCAACCATAAACTATCATTACTAATAGCAATTGAAGTTATCGAACCTTTTTCTTGCTCGTTTTGAATTTGCTTAAATTGTGTTAAGATTTCTATTTTGTTATTACGTCTTGAAATATCTAATCCAAAAATAATTATCCGGCAGTCATTCAATACCACTATCAATTTTCTATTATCAGGAGTAAATAAAAGGTGATGAGCTCCAATATATTCTTGATCAATTTTTGGAAAATTTATTTTACGAACAACCAGTCCTCCTGAATCATTCATCTAAATAGTATACATATACATACACATACACATACACATATAAATAAGCATGTATATTAATTATGATTTATCATGAGAACATACGTTATCATCAACAACTCTAAATAACTTCACACGTGTTATATCAGAAACTGCAATCCATTCGCCATCTTGAGAAATTGCACTTGCACAAAGATTACTATCACACTAAAAAAATGACAAATGAAAAAAATTTAGATCAATTAAAAGATTTCTATAACTGACTCAAACCAAAGATATATATATTAGCTTGGTAATAGATTACTTTAAGAGTCATTTCTAAAACGGCTTGTTGGGGTTCTTGTATATATAACTTTGGTATTTTTTCATAA